CCTATAAAATAGTTGAGTCCAATATTTTCGAAACTCGTCTAAAATTTGGCTCTCGGCCGAGCTGCTCAGCAACAGTAGGGTTTTTTTCTCCGAAGTCACTTCTATAGATTTTTGAATGAAAGCCGTCCTTAAGCAACATCAGAAAAGACTTCCTAAAAATCTTCGACCCTGTTAGATTCTGCCTATATGACCCGCCAGACGTGGTGTTTGAATATAAAATTGGAAATGACACCACCACCACTTTTCGAAACCGTTATAACGTACTTAAGTGAGTCTAACACAATTGAAACTGGTCTAATAGTGATAAACTTGTTCTCTGTCGAGGAGCATAGCGCAACGCTCTGCAAACAGTTGGGTTTCTTTTTTCGAAGCCACTTCTGTAAATGTTTGTAAAAAAAAAAGAGCGCCGTCCCACAGCAGCAACTGAAAATACTTCCTTCTCAGACCCTTTCTGATCCTACTTACAACACTATCAAAGGTGGAGTTCTATAAAGAAGGAAAATTTTAAATCCGCCATACAAGTATAGCTTATACTTGTATAACATATTTAAGTGGGTTTAGTCTTGTCGAAACTTTTACACAGATCTGCAAAGCTTTTGAATCATTATCTAACCTGTTTTTGATATTTTTTAGAACATGCCTTTCTGGATCGACCCAATTTGGTCACATAACACTGCCGACAGTGAGGCGGGACAAACTGCTTTGGTAAGTAAAACTTTTTATTTTTTGTTTAAAATTCAGACATAAGCAATTTTGAAATCTCTTTTTGCAGCTCAACATAAGATTACCAGAATTGAAGTCATTCAATGTATTACCCATGGTATTATCGCCTTATACACTTTCAAAAACCGAAAATATGAAACAAAAAGTATTTAATTATGAAAATCATGATAGAAAAATCGCTTAAATTACCAAAGTAAATTAATTACATACAAATCCTCTACCCAGTTGTTACTAATTAGATGGGAAAAATGGTCTTTAAATTGTGTACGTCCTAAGAGCAAAAGAAACAAAAAAAACGTTTAAATTAAGTATTTTATTTAATTATTAGTAATTTTTAATAATCAAAAATTGTAATGTTACCACGACATTGAATTGAATTGTTCGTATGTGTAACAAACGATTGCGAAATATTGTTATTGTAATACCTAAAAAATGTTTGGTAGGGTTCAAAGAAGAGAAGAAAAGTAAAATATTTTTTCAACACATTCAATTCGTTGTAACTCTGATTATTATTACGATTTTTTTTTTTAATTAAGCCAAAATATTTAAATATCAATTTTAAATATTGTATTTATTGTAGTAATGCAACAACAAATGTGTCCAAAACTATATTTTGTAAGTGATTCAAATAAATAAAATCGTTTGATTGTAAACAGAGCGTTTGGCTTAAAAGAAAATAGCTAGAAATATTAGGTCTAGTAAAAAGAAATCCAACACTTTTCTAATAGATGGTTATAGCTCGCGTTGTAGTACTGCAATCGGGTTAAAGGCGAAAACGCAAGCTGGCAGCTCAAAATACGAATTATATACGTGTTTATGGTCCTAACACTGTAACAACTAATCATAAGCAATTCAGGTTTTGTCGATTCGGTAATTTGATGTCAAAGATGCATCACGCACAGAAAGGCCAATTGTCGAAAATATCACTAAATTAATGGAAATCTTCAAGTTCGACCTCATGTAAGCACTGTTTCGATTTCTCATGAGCTAAACGTTGCACAAAAAACTATTTGGAACTATTTAAATAAGGCTGGTAAAAAAGGAGTTCGACATGCACGTGCCACCCGAATTAACGCAAAAAGCTTCACAGAGCGACTTTCCATCTGCGAATCGCTGTTGAATCGCATCGAAATCGATTCATTTCTGAAGGATGATTACTGATGATGAAAATGGTCTTGGTCGAATCGCAGCGGGTTCAAACGGTGTCAAGTCAGAATTGTCAGTTAGCAAGGTTTAGCTATGTGCTTGGTGTAATTAGCAGAGCATCAGTTACTTTGAGCTGCTCTCCTATGACCAAGCTTTTTAATCGGACCTGTACTGTCAACAATTCAACCGTCAGAAGCAAACGCGCGGAAGCCGCCAACTTTGAACAATAGGAGAGGAATAGTGTGTCATATGGACAACACCAGGCCACACACATCGACAGTGACTCTCCAAAAGCTCCGGAGCTTGATTGGGTTGTTTTATGCATTAATCTTATAGTCCGGACCGGACACGAAGTGAGAGAATAATTTTCCTCCTCTCTGTGGAGAATAATTTTGCTGGTGCAAAATTGGTCACAAAAGAAGCTTTTGAAAATCGACTGCACCAGTTTATTACCAATAGCAAAACTTCCCAAAGTTATTTCGAGGTATAGTTTTTCAGCTACATCGTTCTTCAGTGATTAATGATGTGGAAATGAGTTCCCTTCTCTTTGCAGACGAGGAGCTCGAGTTCATTTTTACACAATTATGGTTGCTAGTCCTAAAGCAGATCAAACTACTACTCATCCACTCTCGACGCTGACATTCCCTATTTTTTTGTGGTTTTAACTAGCTGATGTACAAAATCAATAATTACAACAACATTTAGGCCCCTTACCGAGTCTAGTTAATAAGAGATACCTGTAAAATGGCAGCCTTAATAACAAAGCCGTCAACGGAGCCTTTTCCAGCCTAGAAGCAAAAGAGGTTGATCTTGTGGTGAACGAGGACAAGCTAAAGCACCTGGAGGCCATACAAATAGATTCCGCGCGTCTTGGGTAGGACTTTGTCTCTCTCAGAACCGACATAAATACCATCAAAAATCTAAACCTGGATATCAAGCGCAGAATAACTCTTTCAAACAGCTGCTACTTTGAGATCTGTAAGCAATAGAGAAGCATATCCTTTTCTCGTTGAACAAAAATTAGGCGCTATAAGTCTCTTATCATTTCTGTCCTATAATACGACGCAGAAGCATGGACAATGGCGAACCGAGATGAGAAAGAAAATGGAACGCTCGTGAGAACTGTTCTACACAAGGTCTTTGGAGCCGGCCGCGAGCACCGAAGAAGGTGAAACCACGAACTGTATGAGTTCTATGACGATATGGCTAAGTGCATAAAAATTCAATGAATGCGCTTTTTAGACTAGCATAGAAGACAATTCTCCAGCAAAAAGCTCCTTTGATCCGAGAACTATACGCGGATAACGGAAGCATGCACGCCCAGTTGTTTGTACTTGGAATGTAATACTGGCAACTGGCGAAATTTTGTGTTCTCGGCCCAGACCGACCTAATGAGTCAAAAAACTGGAACCAATGGGTTTTTCGAGTGCATATGATTTTCTTCTTGCAACAAAAAAGCACTGGAATTTTTTTAGAGTTAAATGGTAAAGACGACACAAACGTTATCAGATTTTGTTCTATCCTTTCGAAGTAATGAAGATAGCTCGCTCTATAACCCAACCTAGAGGGTTTAGAAGCGAGAACATTACATTACAGCGGTGATTTCTTTGTAGAGTGTGGTATTTGAAATCCATCTTTATATATACTTTTTAATTAACTTCTTTTTTGGTAGAATAAAATCTGCTTCAAGTTGTGAGAATCGCTTATTTCAAGTACTTACCTTAAAAATTGGGTGCCACTAATTTGAAAAAAGTGTTCGCCAGTTCAATGCCGAAAAAACAAGCCGCGTTCGCTGGAAAAGCGCGCAACATTACCGGTATTACGCCACGATAGAGTGCAAATGGTCCATCGGTGCGCATTAATTCAACAAAGACACTTCGTATGCCATGTTTATATTTATCCGGTGGTGCTGTATACGGGAAAAAGTTGGATAAGTATGCAATCAATTTTTAATTTAGCAGATTTCGTATAAGTATGAATCGTAATCTTCGATAACTTCTCAGGTTAATTAACCAATAAGAAATGAAATTTATTTTGAGTCTAATACTCTGAAACTCTTTCGTAGTAATCACTTTTCTTTTAGTACTAACTTTACTGAAACATTTCCTCTCAGTAGAGTTCGTTTGGATGACCTACGGCAGTCTGCTCTTCTCCCAATCTGAAGAAGCAAAGATATATCTAAAACTCAGAAGGCAACTGAAGAATGCTAGAAGAGTAGAAGAGCTCGAGTTGACTCGCCAATCTAAAGTGATCCACGCACAACTTCGTTCTGGATACTGTAACAGGTTAAGCTCCTCGACTCTCGAGCTCGACATACCAAGCTCATGCCCTGAATGTAATAAGTCCCCACAACTAACCTCTTTCCCTATGGTTCGACCCTAACAGTTTTCTGGACCTCCCGTTTGCTGTTTTCGATGAGTATTAACTTACGCCCTGCTACCGAAACAGGATCCAGCAAACCGCCACAACAACAACAGAAGTAGTATATCAAATCTGAAGCGGTTTTCTGAAGTTCGTATTTGGTTTTTGTAGCGGCGTAACATATTACCCAACAATTTAAATAAATGCTGAAGAGTTAACAGTTCTAAGCGACGTTCTGTTACGTTCCCCGGGTCTATGTATTCCAAATTACTTCAAGGTTTCCTCTGCTACAACAACAACAACGTTCCATTTTGTAGAACTGGTTATGAGAATGAAATAGCAAAGTTCCATAGTTTTGGAAAAAACTGCTGAGATGACAGATCTTCGATTACGTAAGCCAGACTATATTGGCAGCAAAAGACTCTGAATCTCATTTTTCACATACATACATATTTACAATATATGGGAAGAATAAATATATTTTAGCGCACCTGTCTGCAGACGACTCTTGAGTACATCGGGCGGCATACCGACAACCCAGTAGGCAATGCCAGACATACCACCCGAAAAAATCGCCGATAACAACTCCATTTGCATATTTGGAAATTTTTGCTTGATCAAATCTTGAAATGCTTCATATGTTGCAAAATATACGGCATTTGATGGTAAATCTGGAAGAGAACGATAAATATTATTTATAGGCAAGTACTTAGATATATATAAAAGAGACTAAAACGAATTTAAAATATTATAAATGATACACGAAATCGTTTCTTTTCAATATGTGTGTATATTTTCATATTCTTCTATACATTATAAAAGCCTATTCTATATATTTCTACAACAACAATGTGAAAATAACAATTATTACGAAAATAGAATTTCTTATAATTAAAAATTTTTGCAACTTTTTTTTTCAAATATAAGTGCACTATTTAAATTTAGTGTTATAAAAACTTCTTTAGTCTTATAGGAAAATTGTTCAGTTAAAACAATGCGGCGATGGCATCGAAAGCATCATTGGCCAATTCTATGCCGAAGAAGCAGGCAGCATTTGCGGGGAAGGCACGCAACATAATCGGTGTAACGCCACGGTATAGAGCCAAGGGACCATCGCGACGCATCAGATCTTTGAAGACGCTGCGTATACCTTTTGGATATGTGCCGGCCGGTGCTGCGGATGGAAAATTGAAATTATGTAAGTTATGTAAATGTTAAAAAAATATATAAAATTAATTTGGCTTATAATTTCTAGTGAATTTATGCAAGTATAATATTTTATAAAAAAATAACCAGAAGGACGATATTGAAAAATATAAAATAAGAGTAATGAAAAAAGTAATGAATAAAGCGCAAATATTTTAAAATTAAATTACACAAATAATTATTTTTAAAGATAATAAATTTAACTAAAATAATAAAGTAATTTTAAATTATAAAATCTAGTACATCAAACCATAAAGTGGTTATGATTTTTAAATACGAAAATTAACAAATTAATTAATTCAAAATTATTTAAAAAAAGTAAATTTAAATTAGTATAGAATTCAATAACAAAAATATCTAATTTTTAGAAATTTAGTCTTACTGAATTAAATTAATTATTTAAAATATTATTTAATTACATAAAAAGAAATTAGTGAATAAATTAATAAAATGTATATTTAATGAAATATATAGATAAACAGTAAATTAAATAATTAATTAATATATTAATGGACATACATATGCAGTTAAAGTTGAGTAATAAAAAATTATTGTTAATTAATTAACTGAAAATAAGTTGATTAATTGCTCTTTAATTTTTAATTATCATAGTTAATTTTTTATTTATAACAGTTAATTAAATAACTGAAATTAAGCTGACTAATTAATTTCTAATTACTAATTATTTATTAACTACTAAAAGAGACAATTACTTTGTTCAGTTCAAAGCTTGAAAAATTGTACACGAAATCGTTTTTTTTCACAATAATTAAGTATATTTTAATATTTTAGTTTTTTTGTTTTTGTCTTTAATTCAGTGAAATTAAATAAAATTAATATAAATTAGTTTTTAATAAAATTTAATGAATACTGAAATTGAAAAAATTAAGTATTTTACTAAAGTTAAATTTATTTGACGATATTTCAACAAATTACTAATATAATTAATGTTAATTTAATTTTCATAAGTTAAGTACAAAAAATTACTATAAAAAATTGATATTAATTTAATTCTAATACTAAGTTAAGTTAAAAAATAAAAACAAATAGTTACACACTTCAAAATCATTTAATAAAAATCCTATTACTAATTAAATAATTAGTGATTAATTTTAATTAACGCTTACTTAATTAATGCCAAAATTCCTTTTAAATTATCCAACTTAATTGAAATTTAAATAATTAGATTATGCCAATAATTAAGTATTAAACTTTAATTTTAATTAATTTTTGGCTATTTTAATTTATTTATTTATAATTGATTATTTATTAATTTTTATTAGTTGAATAAGTGTTACACAAATTTTTTTTAAAAATAAGTATTTAAAGTTCCATTAATTAAAAGTAATTTCATTTTAACAATTACATGTAGTTTATTTTAAATTTTTAAATATTGTACACTGTTAAATTAAGTAATAAATAAATTAAATCAGATTAAATTAAAATAATATTGAGAAATATTGATATTACTTAATAATTGTTAATTAAATTTTAATACTTTTAATTTTTAATTTCTAATTAAGTATAATTACTACTTAATTAAATAATAATTAACGCTTTTATAAATCAATAAATGATTGTTAAATCAATATGTACTCAATTAAGTATGTACATAATTTAGAAGTAATACCTAAATAACATAAATAAGTTTATGGAATTTTTTTAATTACTGATTAAACGCAAATTAAAATAAATTAAAAGCGAAATTTAATAATTGCGAAATGTGTTAAACATTTTCCTTCAATAAGAAAATTAATTAGTTAGTTCAAATAATTTGGCTAAGAGGAACACTTCTGGTGAATTAAAAAAAAATAAATATCAAAATAAATACTTAAACTTTTTGTTTTGAAAACGTAATTTTGTCGGGTTTTAACTTTTTTTCGACCATAGGAGAATATTTTCTAGTAGAGTACTTTTTTTCAAGGTTTCATCCATGGAGGCCGGAATCACTGCGGAGAATATTTTTGTTTAGCGCCGTGGGAGATCGCGTGTGACCCCAACATTTAACTATTTTCCTGACAAATTTTACTGTTAATAATAATCAAATAATACAGCAGTTTTTTTTTTAATTGTTTAAGCTTTCACAGGAGCGTCCCTTAATTATTTCAAATAATTTAATTAAGTAAAATATTTTTATACTCTTGCAACATAAAAGCAAATATAGTTCAAATCGGACTAAAACTATTCAAGCACCCAGATACCGAATATGTGGACCACAGTTCCTGATGCGAACTTTTTATCGAAAATATCGGTCAATCTGTGAGATATGTCATAGAAATTTATATAGAATCTGTTTCTGATAATCAAGTCAATAATTAGCCCCCATACACTTAATAGAAAGATTTTCGAAGTTCCGGCTGACTTTATATCGCAAATATCGACAAATAAGTAAGATATCTTAGCAAAATTACTATAGTTTAATGCCGAAAATATGCCTTATGCACCTAAAGGTATTTTATCCTAACCAGTTGCAAGAGTATAAAATGTTCGGTTACATCTGAGCTTAGCCTTTCCTTACTTGTTTTAAATATTTTTTTATCGAATATTAATTAATTATTAATATAATATTAATGCTACACATACCTGTTTGCAATCGGCTCTTCAACACATCGGCGGGCATACCGACCAACCAATATGCTATACCAGCAGCACCACCGGCGAAAATCGTCGAAGTAATGCTAATCTTCTCGCTGCCAGTTTGCTCTTTGGCCTTATCTTGTATATACTCGTAAGCGAGAAAATAAAAGGCGTTTGCGGGCAAATCTAAAAAAGGCCACATACATAACAAAGATATAATTTTTTTTTTTTGCTCATATGCAATAATTTGCGACACATTTAAAACACTCGTGCATACATACATACTTATGATGAGATGGAAATATGCCAGCACACAACACAAATGAATTTGCATACAAATAATTTTGCACTTTCACACTAATGAATGAAAAATTGTTAGTAGTTTGAGAAACCAAAAATAGTTAATAAAATAATATATTTACATATATATAAATAAATTTTTAGCAAAGAATGCTTAAAACAGCACGCTCCACATTTTAGCACGAAAAAAAAAATTTAACTAAAAGAAGTACAATAGACCAGGGGCCATATATTTTGAAAGCACAAAAAATTTATAGTGGCATGAAACACAAAGGAAAATAAAGATAAAATTACAAAAATGAATGAAAAAATTATTTACGAACGAGCTGAGCTCGGGAAAGGGAAGTGAAGGGCGATGGTTGAATTAGTGGAAAAAGTTATATGGCAAAGTTGTAGGTAATAAAAGGAGCTACAACTTTTCGTATTTACAGCTTTTTCACATAACCTCAAAATTGATGTGAAAATTTCAAATAAACAGACAAGAACAATTTAACTCGATTTCCGGCGTAACTACGAGTCTTATGGCAAAAAGTTATATGGCAAAGTTGTAGGTAATAAAAAGAGCTACAATTTTTGTGTGTACGCCTTTTTCACATAACCTTAAAATTTATGTGAAAAATTCAAATAAGCAAATTTTTGGGTTTTTAAATTTAACTTAAAGAAAAAAAAATATTTTCTTTTACGAAATTTGAGGTAAACTAACTTTTTTATATGCCAAACACACTGTAATTTTGTGTGCATGTATGTAATTACATAGTTAAAAAATTCAAAATAGGTATTTGTTTAAATAAGTCTGTGTATATCACAAAAGTACTATATACATACATACATATCGCTATACATATATGCCACAATATCTTATTAAAGAGCGCACTGAATGAAAACAGCGTGAATTAAAGTCGTGTACGCGCGATAAGTCACAAAGGATGTTGTATTTCCTCTTTATCCAAGCTGTCAATGTGTTTGTGCAATATGATTCTTTCGGCTTATCTTAAAACACAACTAAATTGTTTTTTCAAAATAACTTTACAATAATTATGGACTGCTCGGTAGTAGCGAAACGTAGTTCGAACCCAGTGGGTAACGGTTTATTTGGGGCAGCAAGCCTGCAGAGTACAGTGAGAAGCATGAAATAGCGCTGTGCAGCAGACAGTTACTGATGTTATTTCATATAAAAAAAGCGTGACGTGTCAAAAAAAAAAAATTCTAAAAATATACAGTATTAAGCGGTAGCAACGTAACACGTGAGAACTTAACGCTATAAAAATGCAATGGATTAACATGTTTCTAGTGTTGGTGTCGTTGATTGTGAGTCAAAAGAGTAAAAAAACAAAAAAAAAATGTTAACTTCGGCTGTACCGAAGTTATAATACCCTACACACGTGTATTTCTTATAGCACAAAAGTGTACAAAAAGATCTATAACTTGATTTTGAGCGATCACTTTGTATGCCAGCTATATGCTATAGTAGTCCGATCTGAACAAATTCTGCGGAGATCGTAGCGCTGCTTTGGATAAAAATATGTGCCGAATTTCGGGAAGATAACTTGTCAAATGAAAAAGTTGTCCATACACGTAACTGAGTTTGATCGGTCAGTTTGCATAGCAACTATATGGTATAGTGGTCCGATCTAAACATTTTGTTCTGAGATAGTAGCGCTGCCTTGGATAATAATCTATGCCAAATTTCGTGAAGACTGCTTGTCAAATAAAAAAGTTTTCCATATAAGGACTTGGGTTTCATCGGTAATGTTTCTATGGCATTTATATGCTATAGTGGGCCTATAACGGCGGTTCCGACAAATAAGCAGCTGCTTGGGGAGAAAAAAACGCATGTAAAATTTCAGATGGATATCTCAAAAACTGAATTCGCGTATATACAGACGGACAATATACGCTGTTTAGGGTTACAAAAGAGTAAAAAGTAGAACGGTAAACCCGAGTAAAGTTAAACTAAAGAGAAAAAGAAACCAAAAATATTACTTTTCCATTAAATTACAGTTAGCTAAGTACATATTTGTTCTACTAATTCCCCATAATCAAGAAAAAAAAATTATGTTTTACAAAAACAAAGAAATTTAAAACCAAAATTTAACTGCTTTTTTTACGCAAATTCATACAACCACAGCAACTCAACGTCAATGCGGCACTCATCAACGTCAAGCCACAATCCAAACAACATACAAAATTTCTAAAATATCAGCAACTCCAGCAACAGCATAAAAAGTTAGTACCACACGCGGTTGAACGTGCACACAATGAAGTGACGACAACACACCGGATACAACGATTGCAACGAACGGAAGTGTCCCCATTAGAATTGCTACATGAACACACGCAGCAATTGGCAATCGACACACTACAATGTCCGACTGGTTGTGTCTGTCAGTATGCGCCTTTTGCCGAACTGTCCATATCACGTTGGATACAGCACATGCAAGCGCAACGACCTGGTGCGGAGCAAGTGGAAGATATTTGGTCGAATGAAAGTGCGAGCAACAGCAATGAGGCTACATACGAAAGCGTTGATGGCGACAATGATGATGATGCGTACTCAGAAAATCCTTATATGAAACAGGCTACGTGTATACTGCAAGAGGAGAGCGACGTGGAGGAGTTGATACAGAAGTTGCCACACGATTTGCATGCATTGATACTGTTATACACCAGTAGTGGTAGAAATAAGAGCAGTGAGTATTTAAACAATTACAAAAACGAATATAAAAAAAATATAAAAAAATATATTAAAAAAATAATAAAACAAAACTCAAAAATGTATAAAAAAAAATAATAAAATGAAATTAAAAAATATATAAAAAAGATATTAAAACAAAATTTAAAAAAAATTTTATATAGAATTAAAAAAATAAATAAATAAATTATTAAAAAAAAAGTATATTAAAAAAAATAATAATAATAAAAAAATATTTTACAAAAATAAAGTAGTAAACAAAAGTAATACGCTTCACAGTGGCAACTAATTGTATGTGGTAACTATATAGTAGTCCGATTCGAACAATACATAGTATGTATGTTCGAAATTGGACCGCTGCTTTGGACAAAAATCCATGTAAAATTTCGAGAAGCTCAGTTGTTAAATAAAGAAGTGTTCCGTACAAAAACCTGATTTGTATCGATCAGTTTGTATGGCAGCTATAAACTATTGTGGTCCGATTTGAATGATATATGCGGAATATGAGCGTTTCTTCGGACAATAATCTGTGCCAAATTTCGATATTTTGTCTAATAAAGAAGTATTCCATACAAGAACTTCATTTTGATCGGTTAGTTGGGTTGGGAGCTATATGCTATAGTGGTCCGACAACGGTGTTTCCGACATATGAGCAGCTTCTTGGGGGAAAAATGACTTATTCAAGATTTTAGATCAATATCTCAAAAATTGAAGAACTAGTTAGCGTATATGCCGGCAGACGGACATGACTAAACCGACTCAGCACGTCAAGCTGATCATTTACATAAACATATGTATGTACATATATGTATATATATATTATATTTTATAGAATCTCTTCTTTTGGGTGTTACAAACTCCTACTGAATATACCCTGTTCAGAGTACATTATAAAATATGTTAAAAAAAGTATTAAAAAATAAAATCAAAAAAAAGAAAAAAAATTTTAAATTTTTTTTTTTTTTATATATTGAAAAATTTTGGAGCATATAAAAAAATTATTAAAAATTAATAAAAGGATTACAAATTTCTTTTGTTAATTAAAATTTCAAAAATTAAAAAAAAAATGTAATTAAAAGTAGTTAAAAAAATTAAATAAAAAAATTATTAAAATTAAAAACAAAGTATTAAAAATGAAAAAAACCAAAATTTTAATTTATAAAAAAGTTTTAAAATATAAAAAAATTATTAAAAATTAAAAAAAGGATTTAACATTTTTTTATTAATTAAAATTTCAAATATTAAAAAAAAATATTTACTTTGAAATATTCAAAACGTAGTTATTAAAAAATTAAATTAGAAAAATATTACGATTAAAAGCAAAGTATTAAAAATTTTAATTTATTTTAAAACATTCAAAACATTCATAACACTCTGAAAATAGTAAATACCATTAAGTATTAATTGTTTGTAGGCATGTGCTATGAAGGATAGCTGCGCTGTGCGATAAGCCTGCGCGGCGCTTTGTAAAATGCTCGAAAGCAAGATAAGCAATTGTTTACGCGCTTTCACATACACAAATGTATGTATGTGTGTGCATAACAATCATAACAATATATATATATTTTTTTTCATATTTTTTTATTCTACCTCTTTTTTTTTCTCTACTTCCCACAAACAGTCAATCTGAGCACGCTAAAGCCACTCAATCAACTCACCACCTTGGAAGTACGCGGTGGCCTCAATCGCTCTTTGCGCGTACTTTTCGATCAACCGTTAAGTTTTCTGCAATATGCCAATTTCGAATCGGTCACACTGTTGGGCAGTGACGATAACAAACGTCCGAAGAATTCCGTGCATCCCAAGGATAGTTACGATTACAAGCCGCGTAGTGAGTCGTATGACGATTTGGATGCTTTGGCTTTTGCGCCACTCGACGACTATGACGACAATATAGTGCCCTATGACATTTATAAACAAGAATTGATAAAAGCACGCATGCCCACATTCTACGCGTGGGAGCATTTGCAAGTGTTGCGCATACACGGTTGTCAGCTGAACGAATTGCGTTGGGAAATGTTTGATGGCCTGACCGCTTTGGATCATTTATCGTTGGAACGTAATGGCATTACAGAGGTGCCACCGTTCTCCTTCTACGGCGCTTTGCATATACAAACGCTATCGTTGGCGCATAATTTGATACACGATTTACATTATCGCGCTTTGGCCGGTCTGCTGGAGTTGGAAGTGTTGGATTTGAGCGATAATCGTTTGGATAAATTGAGTGAGCGCAGTTTTCCACCCTTCCCGAAATTGGTGCGCGTCGATTTTCGCAGCAATCCCATACGATATATATTACCAGCGAGTTTCTGGGTTATGAATTCAACACGTTCGATGCACTTTGATTCGCAAACGATGGCATTACGCTTGAAAAACAATCAACCGTTCGAATCGTTGTTGGAGCTGCAGGCGTTGCATATTGGAAATGTGTCGGTCGGGAATTTGGGACAAAATATGTTTAAGGTATGTGTATAATCATATCTATTCGTCAACTTATGTTAAATTGTGGAAATAATTAAAATCGAGTAAAAGCCGCGTCTCATATTGGATATTAGGGTATTATTTAGAAGTACTAACTACTAACTACTAAAGAAAAAACGTTAACTTCGGCTGCACCGCAGCTACAATACCCTTCACAGGTTTTTTTATAGCATAAATGGACATAAAACTATATTTGTTTTGATTGGGTCGGTGAGTTAATATGACAGCTATATGCTATAGTAGTCCAATCTGAACAATTTGTTCGGAGATTGTAACATTGTCTTGGAAAATAATCTCTGCCAAATTTCATCGATATAACTTATCGAAAATCGAAATTGCTTAACAGCTTTATTTTCTCCGAATACTGATGTTATACATTTACCAAGTGTCTCTAATGTTTGCCCACAATTATATTGAACCAATTACGTTTACATTGCACTAAATACAATCAATTTACAGAGCTTAACAGCGCTGGAGAAGCTGACGTTGCATGGCAACATACGTAGCATCGAGTTCGACGCCTTCGCCGGTCTACATAAGCTACGCGAACTTGAATTGAGTCATTGTGGCATACAAGAGCTATCAATGGACGCTTTTATCGATTGTCGTGCGCTAGAAGTGCTGGATTTATCGTATAATAACATCTCCTACTTTCCACCTGGCCTACTCGATGATCAACCAAATTTGGAGGAAATCTATTTGCAAGGCAATCGTTTGCGCACACTGCCACACACATTCTTTCTACGTCCGAAATTACGTTTAGCACGGCTTAGCGAAAATCCATGGGAATGTAGTTGTGAGATGTACAATTGGCGTCCGAAGATTACCAATCAAGTGCGCGGTCCACGCACGAAACGTTGCATTACCGACTATACAACAGGTAAGCAAATTTCATGCCGACGTGTGGATAGTTACGTCTATGAGAATCGCTATGCGCCACGTTGCAGCAATCATAACGAACGTAGCGTCTTCTATGTAATACACAAACAATTAAATTGTGCGCCTGGACGTGTGGTGCTAACTAAAAAGCAACAACATAACAGCATATTACCACGACCAAGTGGTAAACAGCCTGTGCCACATTGGCGTAAAATTGAGCAGAGCAATTTAAAATTGATGCAATACAAAAATAAAACACAAGTGCAGGCAGTCAGAGTGACAGATGATCAGCGAAAAATGCCAAAAACCGTTATTGCATTGACGCAGCGGAATACATTGACATATGCAATGCAACAAGAACGCGCCAAACGTGTGGAACATGTTGTTGCAGAAGAAGAAGAAGAAGATAATAATAATATTTCAAATGATATATAATATAGGTTACATTAAAAAAAAATTGTATTTGCTGTGCGCAAGCACTGACGTCATATGAATTTAAATGAAGCGCTAAGGTTTTGGTCTACAAAAAGTTGATAGATAAGAAGCGAACTTTGGTTAATGTTTTAAGTTGAACAAACAGCCGAAAAAAATGTATTGTTAAGTTAATATATTATGATTAGTTTGTTATATACAGTTAAGTAGTTTAAGCACACAAAAATTGTATTTATACAAATTTATGACGTTTAACATACATATGTAATTTCGAATAAACAAATATACGCGCACTAGCGTTAAACAATTTTCTAAGACTTTATCAATTGTTGTGACCAAAAATTTGATATTTTATGTAAAAGTTGCAGGTTAAACACTTGAGAGCAAATAAGCACAATTTTTAGAAACAATATTTTTTCTTCGATTTTAACACGTCATTGCCTTTAAAATGTTACGCAAATACTCAACATTTTAAATCACACAAAAATATATGTAAAATTAGCAATATAGTTAAAATTTTAATAATAAACACACAAGCGCATGCTCATACACAAATTATTGTAATTATTTCTTAAAATATAGAATACTTAAAACATATAAAATAAAGATTTTCTTTGGAGTAACTACATGATTTTTCATTCAAACACAACAGCACACATATAATTGACAAGATACTCACCGCGTAAAAGTGTCGCACAACTGCCCTTATAAACACTACGTATACCGCCCTCTTTGTAGAGTTGCACTGCGGTATCCATCATACCCTTGTATTTGCGCTCACCACCAGATGCTTGTTGCACTTGCAGTAAACACTTGATACGCTCACCGGGCGCTGTTATTATCGTTGACATCAAGCCAGAAAATGAGCCCGCAATAGCAATTTGCGAGTAAGTCAATTTGGTGTTTTCACCAGTTTGTTGAACACGTTTACCGAACGCGTAACCAGCAAAGCATAATGCGAAAATGGGCGCTACACCAGTTAGTGGTGCAGACATGCCTTTGTACAGTCCACGCACACCTTCTTTCTTAATTGTTTTGGCAGCACAATCAAAGGTGCCGCTATATAATGGCGCCTGTCCAGGCGCTGGCCGTGGCATTGTTTGCAGACGCACCTATGCATATAAAAAAACACAACAAAACAATGAACATTTAAATTATTTAAATATTTATTACTAACCTTAATGGTGTCCAGCGGATGCCCGGATAGCACATTGCATATGCCACCGAAGCCGCCACTAAGAAAAGCTTTGAAGGGATTTGCTTTACGCTCTTGTGCTGGTGCCTCCGACATTTTGCTTTTTGTATGTGTTTTAAAGGCTTTATTCAATAAAAATTAAATAACAATAAAATGTCACGTTTTAATTATGAATACGTACTGGAAATATGTGTTGTGTGTTCTAATTAGACGGCGCACAATTGAACTTTGTACTTGGCAGTATGCTCTGAAATGGTTAGTGTATACGCATAAAAGAGGAACTCTATTTATTTCTTTGTTATTGCTCGTGATAACCCTGCGACAAATATAGAAGTTATTGTTTATACAATTACAGCTGATTATATTGTTGGCAAAGTTGGAGCCGCTTATCTAAGCGTCTTTTGTTGTCCCTAGTCAATCCTTTAGGTGACCGTTCTTGTTAGCGTAAACTAGGTTGTTTAAGTAGTCTCCTTGTGTACTGCCACTTTCGTGCAGACGTGTGTTATGGGAACCTTCTGCCGTTGGTGTGATGCTGTGGAATTTGACCAATTGTTCAATGTTATTGAATTAAATTCACTAATGCAACAGCTACCGCCAGGTAAGCAAATTTCAAACGTCAAATAAAAAGTATAATATATTATCGATAACGCAGTGCTGTGCAATCGACAGTTTGAAAACATTGCGCAATATTTTATTGTGGCTTTATCACAAAAAAAAACCTAATTATTGTTGCAGCGCATATATAATTCAAAATAGTTTTTTTTTATTAACAAAAAGCATTGTGTAACGGATAATTTATGACAAAGAATATTAAAAAACAAGCATTAAAATAATTAAAAATTTAGGAATTCATAACACAAAACAAATTATTATCAATAAGATTTTTAAAGGTACAATACAAAATAGCCATTGTTAGGAGTAGCTTTATAAACGATTTAACTTTTAGATTATTAAAATCTATGGTTGTGGCGTTTTACGCAAATAAGTCTTCCCTGATGGTACTGCAACCACTTCAACGCCTGCTGGAAATAGCTTCGGAACGTCATTCTCCATGACCGTGGGCAAAACCATGCACGCATCACCTTGCTAAATTATTCAAGAAAAATCTTTTATAAAACCCCAAAAATTAATTAATATACTATGAATGAGGTATACCTTCCAATCAGCTGGCGTAGCCACCGACTTATGTTGTGTGAGTTGAAGTGAGTCGATTACACGCAGTATTTCACTATGAACAAATTTACAGCTTTTGATATAATTTTTAGGAAATATAATTAGATGCTCACTCAAAATTTCTACCAGTTGTAGCTGGATAAAGAATTGAAAGGCGTAGCTTCTTTTTGTCATCAATAATGAATACAGCACGACAGGTTAGTGGTATGCCATCTTTGTTTAGCTCATCCTTATCCAACATATTTAATTTGACAGCCAATTCACGTTTGTTATCAGCAATAATTGGATAGTCAAAAGAGTTTAAATCTATAAGATCAATGGTATATTTGAAGTTATTCTATTTGCTATTTACTGCATTCACTTACCACCATAGCTTTTAATATCCTCTATCCATCCTTTATGCGACTCAACCGTATCAACAGATAAAGCAATTGGCTTTACATTTCGTTTAGCAAATTCCGGCAGGAGTTTAGCTACACGCGCCAATTCCGTTGTGCACACTGGTGTATAATCGGCTGGATGTGAAAACAAAATGGCCCAGCTGTAAAATAGATTTACGTAAACCTTTGAAATTACTTAATATACAGTTAACACACGAATTGCCAATCCAATCATGAAAGTCAATGGGACCTTCATTTGTTTCCGCATGAAAATTAGGGAAGTCATCACCAATATTTAATGCTTTGCTGGGAGCTGTCATTTTCTCACAATCTGCAAGTACAGAGTCGTTGCGTATTTTATATTTAAAGTTTATGTGAGCATTGCATGCATATAATAGCACTTAATTAAATAATTGCTTACACTAATGGAATTTTAAAGCGTCGCGAATAAGAATTAATTTGTGAAATTCAACTAGTTGCCGGCCGGCTACAAATAAAAGTGTTGCGAATTGTTTGTGGAACGAGTGGAAAGAACGCTATGCAGTGCTACCATAGTGTTAAGCAAGTATACATATTTCGAAACTGCCATGTAAATAATAAAAATATATATATAAATATTCTTAAAATAATTTAAGCTCATATATTCGTTAATATATAAAAATATTTTTCAATATAAATCAAGTACCGGCAAAATTTGATCTATACTCTCAATATTAAAATATTGTTTTCTAAGTTGGTAATAGTGGAGTACGCATATCCGCTTAACGGCATGGCAACCTCTGTTGTCGAGCGGTAAATTTGACAAAATTCGTGAAGTTGAAACTTTGGAAATTGTGAAGCTTGTGAAATTTGTATAAAATTACTAATAAAAGTAAAGTTTTCGCTTATTTATCGAAAAAATAAATTAATTAAGTGCAGCGAAAGCTTTAGTTGGTATTTAGTGCATAAATAGGTGTAAGTAAAGTGTAGGAAACGGAAATTTGTTCAATTCTAATTTCAGTTGCCCGAAATGAAGCGCGACCGACATTTTGTTTTAAATTTAAAGAAAGTTGGAAATGTGATAAGTGTAATAGTGTACATATCTTTATACACATATGTACATGTAAATGCATGCTTATATACAAAAAACCATGTGATTGGAATGAATAAAATAAAATAAAGCAAATCCCTAGTTCTAAGGTAAGTTGCCTTTGTAAAAAAACACCAACACAATCATAAAATATAATGTTATATGTGAATTTCACGCATATAAAACGTAGCTATGTTTAACAGTCTATGAAATTAATCATCTCAAGAGAAAAATGTGGTAAGAGACTCACACATGCATATGTATGTATTAACTGGTATAAATAAATAATATAAGGGAACTCAAATTAATTAAAGGGGGAGTAGGGTTAATTTGTGCAATAACATACATATTTTTGTGAATTTTTTGTGACGATGCTGTCAAAATGCCTTTGTAAAATATAATGGTACATTCAAGTATGATATTCGAAGAATGTTATGTAGAATTAAAACTAAGAAATATTTAAAAAAATATACGGCAATAGCAGCAATTCTTCGAACTTGTCTCGGAAAAAAGAGAATTGCGGTGCTGTATCATGCGAAATCGAAAAATCAAGATTCATTCGTTTAATAATAATAGTTTTTCCCAGGTTACACCGAGAGGGTTTTTAAAATTCTAATTTTTTATCGGCTAATTTGTTATTATAAAATAAAAATTATCAACAAATTTAAAAATAACTCTTCTGCCTTACCTTGAAAATTATGTACTGTGATTTTCAAAAGAATCAGTAGTTAGTTAGTTGAAGTTATGAGGGGCACCGACTTTAAAAACGTGAGTTGTGGGGAAAACGCTTTAAAGTTTTGAAATCTTATGTAAAACGTTCATAAGACAGGTATAGAAATATTCATAACTTTATCAATTTCCAATTGACTTGAAATGTAAACATAATATTCTTGAGATGTTATGCTTTCGAAAAAAATCTTAGTAGAAGAAGTAAAGATTTTTAAAGAAAATATATTCTGAAACAAATTATCAGAAGGTACTACTGTTGGGATATTGCTCTATAGTCTGAAATCGGTTTTTTTTTTTCATTTGTTTTGTGGATTCGTGAAGAACAGCTTGTTGCGTGTTTACTCAAAGTAAACTACAATTTCTTTAATTTTTATAAGAAGCAAATATTAAGTTTATTAAGTTTTTCCACAAAGTTTGTTACACATTGAAGAAAACTTCGAAGACTTTAGAAAAAATATATATAAATGATCAGCGTGTCTGAGTTGATTTAGCCATGTCCGTCTGTTTTTCAGATGTCGATCAGAAATTTTGCACACGTTCTTTTCTTCTCAAGAAGCTGCTCGTTTCTCGGAATCGCCGATATCGGACCACTATAGCGTATAATTGGCATACAAGCGGACCGATTGATCTCAATTGCTTGTGTGCAAAACTTTTTTATTTGACAAGATATATTTAATAAATTCCGCATGACTTACTATTTAAAGCAATGCTACAATATCCAAAGAAACTTTTTAGAACGGATGACTATAGCCTATAGCTGCCATACAAACTGAACGATCGCAATAAAATTTTTGTATAGAAAACTTTTTTTTTATTTAAAAGATATCTTCACGAAATTTCGCGTGGATTATTAGCCAAGGCATAATACTACCATATACAGACATCAGTTCACTATAGCATATAGTTGCCATACAAACGGTGCGCTCAAAAGCAAGTTCTTGAGTTTAAACAATTTTTATTTGTGCAGGGTATTGCAGCTTCGGTGCAATTGAACTTAACGTTTTAACTTGTTCCCATTAAAAACACGCAGTTGTGATCTTTTTGTAATATTTATTTACGGCCCCAAACAACAAATATGTATGTATATGTATGTTACGACATTATTTTTCTCATTTACATATTACATACCTGCTGTTTTATTCTTTTTTCTTTAAAAGCACAAACCATTTTTGCAAAAAAAAAAAACTTGCTACAATTTTAATTATTGTCCCATCCGGGATTTGAAGGCACGCTTCACCAATGGCTAGTGTTTACGTTCCTACTAAATATTATAATATTGAACTTTTTTTTTTTTTGGTGTAATGCGCACTTCCAACTAGTCATCACCTCATTTCAGTTTATATGCGCATTATTAATCGTTTTATTTAGCTATAAAACTTCCAACGGATATACGACATGTGTTTTTAGGCATTTTCTTGCGCATATAGCGCCGTTTGCATGCAAATCGTATGTTCTTAATCACTCACTTCCTCGCCAAGCAGTATTGAAATTAATAAATGCATTTGTTATTAATTTTTTTTTTTCGTTTAAATTAATTTATTTCTTTTACGTTTAAACATTATTGATACATTTGATCCATTGCAGTACAAATATTGTAAAAAATATTTCATGTAAATGCTTATTTCAATTTTCACCTTAACCTATTTATAGGAATAAAAATCAAATAAAATAGTCCAACAAATACTCCACTGTGATTATACAAATTTTACCTATTTAACCCCTATTAAAGTGAATGTATGATGATTTTTTTTTTTTTTTTGTAACAAGTTTTCATAACAACAAAATTTCCATAAAACCTAACTACTTAACTGTTAAAGGCAACAAAGATTGCAACAAGAATTATTGTAAACGTATACAATTTAAATTTGCATGAAAAAACACTCTACCATTATAATATATATGTTTATATATATATTTTAAATTTATTAAATTGCAAAAATATATACGTTACGTATAAGTTGTTATAGGTTTGTTTGTGGTATATATATATATATATATATATATGTATGGAAGTCCATGTAACACTATGACTAAGCATAAAAAATATATTTATTGCTAAATTACGCGCTCAACAATTAGCCAGTTGGCGCAGTTGAACGCGACTTCAAGTAACCTGACTTAAAGTAACGTTAAATTGGCGGCAAAACAAATTTGGCATCAAACTTGAGACGTCTCTACGGACATTTCAGTGAATAGTTGCACTTCCTCAACTAAACGCGCTTATTTGCTAACTGTTTTTTTTTTTTTTTGCTATAATAATATATGACTTTATAGTTGGCAACGCTAATTAGAGAGCTTTAACATAGTTTCTCTACGTGCAACCCAAACGCTTTTCAATAACCCGTTTCCGGTTCCTGCTTCAATGTCATGCGATACGCGCTCTCCGCATCATGCAGCCCACCACCCATCATATAAGCACCGCCAGCGCCGCTGCTCAGCGCATCGGGTCCACGTATTTTGATTGGCGCGCGACGCAACATCTCCTCAGCGCTGCCGCTATTGTATTCATTCAACGTCATCTCAGCCGGATTGCGTAGTTGCTGCGCAACGCCGCCGTTATTATGTTGAGCGGCACTCAACTGCTCCGGTCTTTGGTAGGGATGATTGCGATGCAACGGCGGTGAATGCTGCATTGGTGAGGATGCCGCATGCGAATGCTGTTGCATATTCGGCGATGACATATGTGGCAAATTGTGTGCGCTGCTCGTGGATAGTGGACGCATAACAGTGTTGGTGTTGTACATGCTATTCTCGTCCATGCATGAGTTGCCGGCACCGTTAACCATATCGACATTGTTGGCATCGGCGTCAGTGAGGTGTGGTGAATGCATGGCGCGTGTGTGTAATGCTGTACCTGTGTTGTTGTTGACTGTTTGTTGTTGCTGCTGCTGTTGTGGACGCTGTGTCTGGTATGGGCGCAACTGATTATATTGTGGCGGCGGTGAGCCAATATTCTCCAGTAATGGCGACATCATTTGTGCATCCAAACTGTTGCTATCCATGCACGCGCTCAAATGATCAGCGCTTGTGGGTGAGGTGAGCACGTCCAATGTTGACGACACATGACTGCCGTCCATGTTGCGTGTTGGACTGTAATTGTTCAAGCTTGGCGGCGAGAGTGGTGAGTTGTCGGCCAGTTCACCTTCAAAGGTGGAGTACATTAGATAATTACGCATAGTATGGAAATAGTGTGGTGCGTGGCAATAGCGCACTTACCTCCAAGTAGCATTTCCTGCAGCAGCGAGTCAATGTGGGCGACACCGAAAATTTTCGCAAATTGTATTTGCTCAATCATCTGCCAGGTGATGGACTGCAATACGGGCAGTATTAAGAGTATTTCGCCAAAACGACCGCGTGACTCATACTGTCGGTCCGACACATAATCTTCCAGATTGTTTAGTATTTGGTGGCGCAACGTCTTGACGCGTTGCGGCTCCTTGAGATCTTTGGCGTCTGAAAGGTAGTAAAGAAATTAAGTAAAAACGAAAAATGCAAAACTTTGAAGTCTTAAAAATATTTTCCAAACTTGCATAAACTTACTCGGATCGAAGAACACCAGCGCCTTGATGCATGCCAATTCGGTATCGTCAATATTTACATCGCGCAGCGCAAAAACGAGCTCATCTATGATTCTGGCGCCAATGCGCGATATATCCAAGTTCGGCGACAAGCGCGCATCTGCAGGAAACAAAAAATACAATTTACTCACACGATACTTGCAGTTAAATCCACTTGCATTACAGACCTGGACAATGTTTGGTGATGACACAATTGTTGCCCAACAGCAGCACATCTTTCAGATGCATGGAGCGTCGCGACAGCCCCAACAACAGATGTTCGCCGGCGTGTGCGCGTAATAATGCCACCTGATCGTCCAGCTGCAGATCATTAAAGGCTGGTATGTGCTTGGCCCACTCGACCAGCGTCAACAGCTGTTGTTTCATTGACTCACACACATCGTTGATGCTGGCGAATTGCTTGTTCGATAGATCTTCATTCGGATTGGTCTCCATTGCAGCACCCGCTTTCGACTGACGACTCTCAATCTCTGCCTTAACCAGCGATATAACGGACAAGCCATTACCGGGATCGGGATCTTCATTTGAGGTGCGACGACAACTAATGCGATCGCGTTCATTTTGCACTGCCTCCTTCTTCATGCCCGCCTTAAAGCACTTACGCAAGCGGCAATAGCGACACTGATTGCGTTTGTCTTTGTCCACAACGCAGTTACGTGAGAATCTATGATATGTGTGGCAAAATATTGCATTAAATAAAAATTATTTTGGTTGTTGTGGTTCGTGCGTAACTTACCTGCAGGTATATTGATGATTCTTGCGCACGCTGCGCCGAAAGAATCCTTTGCAGCCATCACAACTGGAAGCACCGTAATGTTTGCCGGTGGCGCGATCGCCACATATTGCACAAACCGTTGCCGACTGTGAGTTGTTGTTTTGCGCGTATGAGTTGTTGTTATTGTTAATAGTTACAGTATTATTGCCACTAGTCGATAAATTGCCATTGCTATTACTATTACCGCCGCTTAGACTGAGCGCCGGACTTAGCGCTTGACTGCCGCCCGGACTGTGTGCGGAAGCGCTGCTGAGCGCGGAAAGCGCCGGTTCAATGCCATGCATCATGTGTCCTTCGGCATCTGAAAATATAAAAAGAAAGAAAATTTATTTTAAATTAAGCTGAGTTTAGTTTAATACCAGGCTATATTTAGTTTTAACTATATACATTTAAAATCAGAAGTGGAATAAAAATGCCGCATAATGGCGTCCTATCAGTAAGACAGCTAAAGACCTGATGCAAATCTCGGAAATTAAATTGATTTTGTAAATTACTTGTATAAACGGAACTCGGATAACATCGAATAGTTTTTTTTTTCGAAAAGCGATGGCTCTTCGGCAAGCAATGGCGAACCTCGGCGTACATTTCTACAAAAGTAAACTTTTATTCCATTAGCCGTAGGCTATGTCTGAAAGCGTGTATAATCCATCATTCGTCGCATAACATTAAGTCTAAATGGTAAATAGTCAGAAAAGAACTAGTTCGGATCACCGACAAGCTATAAAAAAAGAAAAAACTAGACTGACTTTGTACTAGATCAAGAGCATAAATGTTGCCAAACAGAGATTGTCTCTGGGGGTATTTGTAAGGCTGGAAGTTAGAAACAGCTTAAGATTTATTGTAAGCGCTGTTAACAAATATCTAAACGTAAAAAGTGCCAGAAATCGCAAAACATCTAAATATTAGGTCAATAAAAGTTCGTTCGGTTTTTATCTAAGAGATGGCGTTATTGTCCATAGTACTAGTGTTACGTGTCGCATCATGTCATACTATACGGCCCTGAAAACGTGTTTATTCACGCTAAAAGTTTGTTCTTGACAGTTTTTCGATTGATTGACTCAGTACGTTGTGAGCGCTCGTCAAAGATGGACACTAGCAAAGAGAAAATTCGCTATATTTTAAAATTTTTCTTCGATCAAGGCGAAAAAGCAGCCAAAGCGGCTGAAAAAATTAATTTAGTTTATGGGCCCGATACTGTAAACGAACATGTAGCACAAAAGTGATTTGCTAGGTTCCGTTCCGGTAATTTCGATGTCAAAGATGCACCACGCGTCGGGAGGCCTGTCGTCGAAAACTGCGATAAAATCATGGAAATAGTAGAAACAGACCGTCACGTGAGCACTTATTTAATTGCTGAGGAACTAAAAATAAGCCAGAAAACCGTTTGGAACCATTTGCATAACCTTGGATTCAAAGGAGCTCGCAAAAAACATGATGGACCGCAACAAAATCGACCCGTTTCTGAAGCGGATTGTGACTGGCGATGAAAAATGGGTCACTTATGACAACATCGAGCGCAAACGGTCGTGGTCAAAGCTCGGGGAAGCGGCCCAGATGGTGGCCAAGACCTGATTGACGGCCAGGAAGGTTTTGCTGTGTGTTTGGTGGGAAGGGCAAGGAATCATCTACCTCGAGCTGCTCCGGACCTGGCCCCAAGTGATTACCATCTTTTCCTGTCCATGACGAACGCGCTTAATGGTGAGAAGTTGGCCTCAAGAGAGGCCTGTGAAAATTGGCTCTCCGAGTTTTTTGGCAATAGGGACGCAGTCTTCTACGAGAGGGGTATAATGAAGTTGGCATCTCGTTGGCAACAAGTTTACGAACAAAACGGCGCATATTTGACTTAAATCGGACAAATGTACACAAAGTTATCATCTTTTGAAAAATCAATAAAAAACCGAACGAACTTTTTACTTTTTCTAATATGTAGGGCCTAGTGCTACTTAATTATTAACAGAGGTCGACCAGTAGATTGTTCGCGAACATAAAGAAAATTTCTTGCCGAAATCGCGAAAGTCTTCGCGCTATCTTTAAGTCAGTGGAGGAAAGTTGCCAAACTGATTTTGCAAAAGTATGTAACAGATTTGATCATGAAGGACTAAAGAACAAAAAACACAAAGGCGCATAATCGCCAATTCAGAGGAGTTAAAGTGGATAACATCGAACATGTTAAAGAAACAGTGCTTGAAAAACGTCATGTTGTCATCAGAGAGATAACAGAGGATCTCAACGTTTCTTATGGATCGATGCAACACAATTTCGTTAATATTTTGAATATCAAACGTATACCAAAAGACCTGAACTCGAGTAGAAGTCGCAAAAGAGATGCCTGCAAAATGAGCCGAAACCGAAAAAACCTCATCCAAGTCCATAAAAATTCAACGTGATACTCATGGTTTTCTGTGATTACCATGGTGTGGTTCATCGTTAACTCATTCCACAGAGTCAACAGATGAATTAAGAATACTATTTGGCCGTTTCGAGGCGTTTGCCATCAGATTCGTGGAGAAAATTAATGAATTTTTCACCACGATAATGCGCCGTCACACTTCAGCATTATTGTAACTGACTTTTTGGCCGAACAAGCAGCAAGTGTCATCGCTCCTCAGTTTCGGCTCCCTGTGGCTTTTTTCAGTTTTCGAAACTTCGAAAACTTTCGCTTCGAGGAATGCTATTAACTCACTGAAGGCACAGATTCCAGCCGAGGCTAAATATAAATGTATGGAAAATTGAATGCAGCAAAATTGCAAGGAGGCCTCACAAAATTTTTTATAAGAAAACTGTTAACCTTTTTGCACAGCTTTTAGCGAACTTCACTGTAATAAACATATGTAGTTTGGTTATTACAAATTGTGCTATAAAATCAAAACTAATATATTTAATCACAGCTAATTGTATGTATGTATGTAACTATGTATGTAAACGTTTGTGGCCATGCATCTTTATTAAATATTACTTGCAGCTATGTAATATATTATATATGTATAAACGAATACATGTATGTAGTTATATGTGTGTGTGTGTGTGTTTGCGTCCATTACTTGTCTCTATACTCACATCGCTTATTTGTTTGTAAAAATTCCGTGCTAACAAATTATAGAAACTGTCAAGTCATCATTATAAACATGTCTCTCATATCAAGCGAGGCGCTTTAGTCATAATACACATGTATTTTAAGACCAGATTTCGCAAAAAGAAATAACACTAATTAATTTGTAGATTTATAAAATATAGAAAATAATTTAAATAGTTCCAGCGCTTAAGCCTATTGGATAAATATAACTTAGATATAAAGAAATAAATAAATATATAAACAAAAACAAATAAAAAAAGAAATAAAAGCAAAAAAAATAAAAATATATAATAAAAAATGTGAAAATAAATAAATAGTAGAACTAAAAATTAAAATAAATAAATAAAAATTTGAAAATATTAAATGCAGAATTTACACGCCCCCATTCCGCCATAAGACTGCTTCACAACAAAATGTTTATTGAGACAAATATTTCTTAAAATTTTATATTTACACGCAGAAATATAAACTAATCGTTTAGTCCTAAATTTATATGCATATATTTGCGTATATACATATGTATATCTATATATATATTTACTAGTATTTATTAACTCATATCTCTTGGCTTGCGGTACACAGCTCTGCGACCTATCTATCTACAAGCGTATACTATTTATTTGATTATGAAGGGGCATACACTTGTACGAAGAGCAGAAAGAGTGAAATGCAAAACAAATATTTACAAATATATATATATACGTACATATATATAAACACATTATATATACAAATATATACATATAAGTATAATATTCATGCATAGAGTTGTGCAAATATTCGCTTTAAATTATATATTATTATGGGTTATGTATGTACACACACCCATATGCCTCAAAAATTATTTTTGTTCACGTAGAAAAATGTTTGTTGTTACATTTCTTCTACGTCAATAACCAAATTTTTTTAATAAAGGGCACATAAAACAAAGAAAAACATCACATTCAAAGGCATAATTCTTGGCAAGCCCCTGGCATATGTTCCCTGTTGGCACAATACAGGGGCAAGCACTTAAAGCGAGTGTTTTTTTTGTTTCAGAAAGTTTAAATAATTATAGATAATAAATGATATTTAAGATATGTCAGTGTATGTATGTTTTCAAGTATTTAAAATATTTAAAATGTATTTTCAGGTATATATTAAAAAAAAAATTTAATAAAATAAAATAATAGTAAATAAATGTCGAATTCCAATTTATCATACTAAGATAAAAGTATATATAAAGTTTATGAACTGATTTCGCTTTCTATTCACAACAATTTTTGAATTGATACTCTATGTACGTAAAGAGCCCACTTGAATTCCACAATAAGCGAGATAATTGTGCTGATCACTGTTCATTAAGGGGTTATATCCGCTTGCAAGTCAGAAAAAATTGTGTGAACTCTTTTTTGAAGACACATTTAATTTAATAAATAAATTCAAATTATATGCATTTACAGAATTTAATGTACTTAATTTTGAAAAATTTTGTATACGCTTGTTTCCATAGTCGATCTTTAAAAGGACCGCCGAAAAAAAGGGGGCTGGCGGCTACGAAGATTTTGCTGCTTACAATTCTCTCAAATCCAAATACGAATAAAATTTATAACTACTATAGATGATTACAGGTAATGGTCGAAGAACTAAGCACAATTTTAATTTTTGACAATTTTTGGCAACTTCGCAAAAAAAATTTGTATTTTTATAATAAAATTTACACTTGAGAGTGACTTTAATTATTCTCAAATATCTTATTCCTTTGATCAAATATAACTGAAAAGGACGTGTGAAATTTTCAAGTTGAGCAGTTCAGCCGTTTCGGAGAAAATTTCCAAACCGACTCTGATAACAGCGTTTCGAGAAAAGTGTTTTGGGAGACGATTACATTAAGTTAAAAAATTGTTACAAATACGCTCAAGACTCTGAAACTATTTGCCAGATTAACTTAAAATTTTCATAAAAATCGAGTCTTTGAAACTCACAAGTGGATATAACTTCTTAAATATTTATATATAGGTATATCCACTTTGTTCAATATTAAAAGGGGTTGGTACCAAATCCTTGGGACTATTGAGCTGATCACTAATCATTAAATAAAGTCTTTACTTTCAATTATCAAAAGAGCAGAGTTCAACAAATTTTTTATGGCAAAACGCCGCAAAAAAAAGCAAGAAGCTTAAAATAGTAAACATTTTTGTTTTTTATGTGAAAAGTTAAGTAGACTTTACAGCATATTTCAGAATGCG